GAGCAGAGCTCAGTCCTGCCCCTCCTCTGCCCCTGCCCAGGCAGTTGGAACTGCAGGGAGGTCTCCCCTCAGTCTCCTCTGCTCCAGCTGAACACACCAAGTGCCCTCAGTGTCCTCACACGCCTTCAAATCCAGGCCCTTCCCCATCCTCGTTCCCTCCTTTGGACACTCTCCAATGGCTCAATCTCTTCCCTTAGAAACAGCTGGAGCAGTCTCCACATGTGGTGTTTTTCAAGCAATGTATCTACAGGCTCTGGGTCACTGCATCAGCAACAGGATTTGAGAAATGGTGCCAGCACTAACAGCAGATATCCCCAGACCAAGGCTGTCAGCTGTTCCATGGTACACAAAGCTCCAGCTGCCCCCCATCCCATATCTCAGGGGTCCATATTAGTGTCTTAACCTCAGCTGGAGGCACCACCTACCAGAGCCCTTAGTCCTGCTGCTGTTTCCAAGGTCTGTCCCTGCTAAGGCAGAAGTTCCAGTGCCTTTGGAAAGACTGAATGATAACCAAGTCACACCTTGCCAGTGACTGCTGGACTGGTCTGACCCCATCATGGATATGGAAGAGTGGGAGCACAAGGTCTTGTAAGAGGCTTTTTGCTCATGTTCCTCACTAAGATTGGGGGATGAAATAGAAATTCCCAGTGGAAAATCCTTCTTGAGGAAATGATGGTTCTTGGTGCAGTGCTGGCACCGAAGCTCTAAGGAGTGAGTCAGGGTAAGAGTGGTTTCTGCTGATGACTCCTTAGGCCCAGGGAAGGAAACAGGCTCTGCAAATATTCCAGGAATCTGCCACAAAGAGAGGCTGAAAAACCCAACTTTCCAGGCAGAGAAATGTAAGAAGCCTGTACAGTGGTGGATCATTTTAAATCCCAAAGAACTTCCTACACCATCGCCATGGATCTGGCACGTATGACGTGGGACTTAGAGGGTCTTAAACCTTTCTGAACAGCAGCTGAAAATGAGTTAGGGCACCTAAAATATCTCTGTCCACCTGTGTTTAGGTTACCAAGTTACTCCTTGACTCCTAAAATTCACTCAAGTACTTGTCAAGACCCCCAGAGAGACAGGAAGGTTTGGACTGTTCATGATGTCCTTTGACCACCAGTGAGGCACTGAATGCTGGCAGATTGATATATTGATATGCTGACTAATTGATTCACAGAAATAAGAGACCTGCAAGTTGGGAACTGCAGAACACCCTCTGGGATCCAATGGCATTGCAGGTTTCTAAACTCAGTGAATTAATTAACATACAGAGTCTTGAACCACCACTGGCTGCAGGAAGGATGTGGATGGTGAAGTCCTCGTGGTCTGGGCATCAGTTCTCCAGTTCTCTGCTTCCTGAAGGGTAACAGACACAACACAAGGGCAGTGGGGCACAGCCCCAAGGCTGCCAGAGCTGCAGGAGGCTTTGGATGATCCTCTGGGGCACAGGGGGTGACTCTTGGGGCTGGGCCTGTGCAGGGCTGAGGGTTGGACTGGATGGTCCTTGTGGTTCCCTTCCAGCTCAGCACATTCTGGGACTCTGTGAACTTTGACAGGAAAACCCCCAGGTGAGCTGTGCCTGCACTGGGGGGGCTCCTGGCAACACTGGTTGTGTTCAATCCAAAGAGAGTTTTTCCTGCTGACATCTGGGCACTGGACCTCTCTGGATGGCAGGAGAAGGACACATGGACCGATTTTGTATTTTCCTGAGAGCTGCATCTCAGGAACAGCAAATTTCTTCCCTAAAGACAGAGGATCCATCCAGGCCAGGCTGTGGGCTGAAGGTAGGTCAGAGGAGCATCACCCTGTCAAGGAGGGCCCAGGAAGAGAAATACATTTTGACTGTCTTTGTCTGTGCTTTTGGGGTATGACAATTCTCTTCTCCAGCCTTTTGGGCCTTGTGTCTGACTGTCCTGTACTTCAACAAGAATGTTAGTCCCATCTCCCAAGTCTTGGGGAAGGTGCTGTGAATTGTTACTGTTTGCAGACGTTTGTGTTCTCACCTACTTCTAGATAAGAAACAAAACATAAAACTCATCTAAATACTCGTTTTAGATGGAGAAAAGCTTGACGTACCCAGATCCTAAAAATATCCAAGCTTTTGAACTTGGATTCCCTTTTCATAAAAGAGAGATATGAAAGGGGCTGAAATTTGATGTTCCAGTTATTTCCGAGCTGTGTGAGTAAGAAGGAAATAAATTAAACGTGCTTAATTAAATATGCACTTAAAATTTCTGAAAAACATGAGCTTTTTTTACTGAAGCTAAACAACAACAAGAAAACCAATATTTTCAGCTGAGAGACACATGGAGAATCCAGCCATAAGAGTAAGAAATGAAAAAGATGGTTTAGATTATTATGATAAATTACAGTATTTATTCCAGGAAAACATAATAACATTTACCATAGGGAGACTTCACTCAGTCTTGTCTGCATTTTCCTATGATCTCTAAAGCACAACCAGATCTAGTTCCTACACTGAGTAATAACCATGCTGCACACCCATGCCGTGTGGCGCAGTAAAATATTTGAGAGGCAGGAGCATGAGAGACATCAGAGAAATGTCAAAACACTGACTACCAGGACAGAGGAGGAAAAAACAAGTCCTAATGGAGTGAAAGACCTTTAGTTTCTCCTGGAACAAGTGTGTTGCTTTTGCATAACTTGGGGAAGTTTAGCCTTGCCTAGTTACCTCCACTGCATAATTTACAGCTACAAGTTTCAGAACCAGCAGCACATAAATTTTGCAGTTTACAGGGGGAAAAAAAAGAGAGAGAAAACCTCTCTAAGACTTTCCTTTACTTCTACACTTTATTCTGGAGTCTAAGGAACAGCCAAAAAGAACTAAATACAATGTTATTGAACTCTAGACCATGTGTTGATCACCCAAGGACTCCAGTAGATG